AGGACAATTTGAATCTTTATACCACTATTTCAGCATAAAGGTAGGGATTAGACTTTTAAAATTTTTATACCATCTTCCTATGAGAGAATTCCTAATGAAAAAGGACATAGGCTTTGGAACTAGAAAGACCTGGGCTCAAGCTCATCTCTGTGAATTACTTGCTAGGTTATCTTGGACAAGATACTTTTACTCTTAGACCCTTAGTTTTCTCATCTATAAATCGGGCTAATTAAGTCTACATGGCAGAGTTATTGTGAGGTTTAGAGATCATGAAGTGCCCACTAGAGTACCTGGCAAAAGTGGGTACTCAGTAAAATAACAGTGGCATGTTTTATTGTAATGGCTTTCCTGGCAGGCCACCAGGAAGTGTAATCTGGCTCCAGATTCTTGAGGTCTCTGGCATTCCTCTACCTTGAAGGGACTTATTAGTGGTGCTCTGATCACACATTCAGAATGAGAAACTCAAGACCTTAAACATAGTTAGGCACACTAGTGCTTGTTGAATTGGATTGATGGTGGCATACATTTTCTTAGGATTTCTCTTAGCTTGGAGGCTGAAGGCATCTTGTCTCCATCTATTATCCTAGAAGTTCCCCATTTCCATGCTTCAGCTTCCAATACTACCCTAAATCATACAGTGGAGGAGATAGCCAGGTCAACTTCCTCTCCCTTAGAACCTGTTTCAAGGGCAAAGAGCAACAAGACACTAAGGCTGACCCAAAATGTCTCTGACAGTTCCCTGTCATGACCCTTGGACAGAGAACAGTCTCTCTTGGAATCCTTGGTGCCATTTTAAGGTCAGTGTAACTCTAATTATTAATTTAACCCTTTTAATGCTTTAAGAGAGATGGGTCTTTTTGAAAGTAGTGTTTTCCCCATTGCACTGATAAGGAAGTTGGGTAGAACCAAAGAGAAAAAAAATGACAGAAGAAAAAATTATGATTGAGAATCACTGGCCCTGATGGTTTTCTCCAGTGCTAAATTATGTTTTGCTCATTTTACTTGGGCACTTAGGTAAAATTCCACATGGGGAGAGAGGGAGTTACTGTTCCATAATGGGTCAAAATCAAAAACCCATTGTCCTAAGTCAAGCTTTCAGATAGGCTAACTGCCTGCATTTTTCCATGTCAAAATACTCAAAAATAATTTCTTTATGCTGTCACACGACAGCCAAGTTAAATCTTCAATTAAGTCATGCATTGCTTAACAACAGGGCCCCCTTCTGAGAAATATATCGTTAGGCAATTTCATTGTTGCGTGAACGTCATGGAGTGTACTTACGCAAACCTAGATGACGCAAACCTAGATGACGTAGCCTACTACACACCTAGGCTATGTAGTATAGCCTACTGTTCCTAGGCTACAAATCTGTACGGCATGTACCTATATGGAATAACGTATGCATTTGTAACACAATGGTAAATATTTGTGTATCTATGGTATATCTAAACACAGAAAAGGTATAATAAACATATGATACTATAATCTTATGGGACCACCATTGACCAAAACATTGTATGTGGCACATGATTGTATTAGAGACATGACTGTATTAAAGGATACAGTCATGCAAATATCTGGGATATTTGCAGACAGAGCAAAGTTCACAAAGGGCTCTCTTAGTTTCATTTGCAGGGAAAAGAATAGTATTAATACATTCAGTATAGACAGCTCTTACATTTGACTTTTAGAGCCAACAAGACAGACCTGGAAATGTTCTTCTGGTTACCTTTTGGTCTATTTATTTAATTATCCCCATTGTTGGAAAGGTTTTTCAAACTCTGGCCTTGTCCTTCTAATTTATATCTACAGATTCAGTTTCAGTTCTAAGAATTATCAACTAATTTCATATTTCATTTTAGTCCATGAAGAAGTAGAAGGTACTTTTTCATCAGAACAATCCTTTTCACCCTTTCCTCTTCCCAAGTTCAGCCTGAACCCCTGCCACAGTGATTCACTTTTCCTCCCCTTTTTACCCTGGCTTCCTCACTGTACCGCTCTAGAGATCAGAAGAATCAGCATCAGGGAGTCCCTTTCATCTCCCTCTCACTCTGTCCACAGCCATTTAGTGGGTTAGTCAGGCCCTGCCTTCTCTCCAGCCAGCCCTGCATTCCTGGGAATATCTGGATGAGCCCTGGAATCTCTCCACAGTATGAATTTGCTGTTGTGCATGCTCAGCCTGATATTTTTTTATTTGTGAATATTAAATAAGTAGAGATCACAAGACCTTACCTCCATCATGCACCCTTTAAAAACATAATAGCTCTTTTATTTCATGGCACTTGACTTTGTTTATGCAGCATGATCAGGACAGCATTCAGGCTATAGCAAGCCTGTTAAATATTTACCCAGGAGGCAGATCTCTATACAGGAATCAGCAGCACTTAGCAGTGTGTGACTCTGGATGTTAGGTTTTGTACCCCTATAAGCTAAGAAACTACTGAGTGAAACAACGGGTGAAATAAGCATCTTTTATAAAATAAGCACTTAGTTAAAACTACCCTTTGTAGTACCTGAAGTACTTCACACATGGAGGTTCATCTAGCACAGACAACTGAGTTATTTAGAATTAGATATGCCCGAGTGGTTGGTTCGCCACATTCGAGATCAAGTGAATCTGATTGTTTGATGGTTGGAGTGGGGGAGTACTGAAGTATGAACAAAATTAAGAGGAATGTTTTCCTTGTTGCTGTGTGGAAAATTGTAGAGGGGGGTGAGCTGTGCACCACAGTGTCTGCCTCAGTGGTGGTCTGAGTGTCCAGGAGCCTTTCATCATCAGTAGGATCCCCACCCAACCAACTTATAGCCAGACCCACTGTTTGGTCCTATCCCTGTAGTCTTCATGACTAAAATCCCCCTCCACTCAGGCAGTCAACGTATTTCAGCAGAAACAGCCTGGACTCTGGTGACAGGCAGACCTGCATTCAGATCTTGGTTTTACCTCTGTCTAGTTGTATGAACCTGAAGCGATTTTTTCTCTCTGAGCCTCAATTTCTTCACCTGTAAAATTGCAATGATAATTCCCACCTTGTTGGATTGTTGGGAGGATTAAATTAGATAATGTGATAAAGCACCTAGCAACAAGTGTTCTTGATAATGACAGAAGCAGGGTACAGAAACATGGGCCTGGCAGCAGAACAGCTGGCCTTGGGACTTTGCACACCTCTGCTTCATTCCATTGTTACAAGTAATTTTTGTTAAATGGCTGTATTTCAGAATGACTCAATTGAAGCAGAGAAAGTTTCAAGTTTATAGGATTACACACAAACTATTTTCCTTCCTTGTATGCAATTTAGTAAATGATTAAGCACTTACACTGTAATATTTTATATAAGTCAAAGCCCATTACAATCAATTCCAGAGACCTATCCAAATTATTTTCTTTTTTGTTTTGGCATTTTATCATGCCAAGGATTATTCCTCTACGTAAGTTATGAGTAGCTTGGATCTTGGTATTCTCTCTGTTATACAGATACTTGACCAATAACTATAGGATATAAATATTGGATTTATTTTTCTTATACTATAGAATTTTCCTCTTAATTAGTTTTCCATCCTGATGGAATCATTAGAATCTTCTTGTTAGATGTATGCCTTCTGTATACTTCGTACATATAAAAGAGAACACCAAAAGCCTTCCTCCGGTTCACAGGAAATCATAGAAATTTTCCTAGCCTTCTTCAGAGTTTAGGCCAAACCTAATCCAGGGTCTACTCTTCAGAGTAGCAAAAGGCAATAATGGTCTTGCTGATTCTGTGCAGTTGCAGAATGCAGATGACTCATGAATGTCATGCTTAGTCAAATGCTGTCTTATGATTTTCTCAATTGTCAGAGTTGTGCTTTTAGGTATTATCTAAGTAGAAAAAGTCAATATTGAATATTTCCACTCCACATTGACTTCCTCCCATGACCTGGGATTTTGTTCATTGAGATTTTTCATTCCCATAAACAAATAAACATAAAATTTATTTTTACCAGAAAAATTAATTTCTGAAATCTATAGTCAATAGAGAGACAGGATGGGTCTGAAGTCCTTTTAGTAGTTATATGTGTTTTCTGTATCACAAACCCTAGGCTGAGTCAGTCTGCCCTAAACTCTTTAGGAATGATTTTCTAGGCAGTTATTGTGTTACCTTTTTCTTCCACTTACAACCTTGTCACTGTAGTAACTGGAATAATGAATAATCACCCTCTTAAAGGATTTTAGGTGTTTTTTTTTTTAAATATCCTATCATATTACAGAGAGGGTTTAAGGGAGTTATAGAAATACATACATTAAAATAAAATTAGAATAAGAAAAACAGACTAGGGTAAAAGGCAAGTAAGAATAGAAAAGAAGATGTAGTCAAGATTAAGAGTGATAAATGAAATGCATGCTGTGAAGTTCTTGAACAATTTCTTTTAATGGTTGTATGCTGGTTAATTTAAACTAAAAAGGGAACCCGTGAAATTTCTGAAAACAATTTCTGAATCAACATTGAGTTAATGCTTAGATCAGTTATTGACCATACCTCTTGTTAAGACTGTACCTTCTTCTTGTGTACCTTTTAGAATTCAAGGTTAACAGAGCTGATAAGATGTAATGTTGTCTGTTACAATGTTTTATTAATTCATTTAAGTTAAGTTCAGGTATTTAATGAATAAGTAATCTTTGCCCAGCAATGACTTGGGCATAATGAAGAGTATAAACATGTATGTTTCGATAATACATACAGCCCACTAATGTTGGTAAGACATTACCTATACCCATGAAAATTTGCTAATTTGTACTTTTGTGTGATAAGATCCTTAGTTGTTATCAATGATGTATAAGACTAATTTAACAACATGTATTAGAATATAGAAATTTAATCAGAAAGTGAAGCCCATGTACCCATCATCATTAATCCAAGCAGTTGGTGGCCAGATGTTGATGAGAGAAGCCAAGTCTGTTTGGGGGTATCACTTCTTAAGTTACTTGAGCCCTAAGAGAAGTGTCCATTGTACTCTTGTCCTTTCAGTGCACTTGGCGGCTCCTCAGCTCTTCATATCCCAGCTTTTCCAGGAGGAGGATGTCTCATTGATTATGTTCCTCAAGTGTGCCACCTGCTCACCAATAAGGTAAAGCAAGTCCCCTTACTCTGTCTTGCGGGACACTCCTCTGGTACACCACATACCAGAATCTTCATGCATGTACCATCCTCCTCAGACCATCTTCTTGGTTTCAGCCTCCAGCTGACATCTGCCTTTCCTACTTTGAATTACAGTTCATCTGTTTCTCTTCCTATTTCCTTGCCCTCCTTCCTTTTCTGAGGATTCTGACCTCCTGTTCCGGTCTTACCTTCATCTCTTAACTTTATATCTGCAGATTTAAGTCACCTTTATCTTGAATTTTCTTTATTCCCTAAGTTTTTGCTAGATCTTGCATCTTCTTACAGTTTTAAATTTTGAACCCCTTTGCTTCCCAATTATCTAATGCGTGCAGACATATGTTTGCCACTAGTTGATATCAGGGTATTTCTTTAAAACTACCTTCATCTCTTTCTGCTTTTCTGTACCTCACTTTTTAAGCGTCAGCCTTTGATTCTTCCTGTCACGTCTGGGAGTATTTTGCTAGAGTCCTGTTCCTAAAAGCAAGATTTCCAAGTCAGCTGGTCTTATACCAAGGCGTGTCTGATTATCTAAAGCTTACTCTTAGCTACATTAATGAGACATTACATTGGCAAGTAGCTGAGTTTATTTTAATGGTTGGTGTCAGATGTTTCCAAAAAGTATAAGAATATACTTGTTAATGTCCAGCCAGTATGTTTATTTAGCCGAAAACTAGAGATATTAATGCACAAGCAACACTGATTCTCTTTCCTCTCCCACATGGACTATGACTCAGTTTGCTTAATTGCCAAAGTACAGTTTTCTTCGCTCCTTTTGACTTGTTCACATTGGCTTGGAAAATAGATCTTTTGTTTGCCTCTTTCATTCAAAAGATAACTCATCTCTATATAGAAAATATTTTAAAAGTACAATAATATTTCAAAGGCTTCAGTATTATTTTTCAAATGTCAGAGAAATTAAAATCTGGCAACTCTGCAGTCTGTGGGCCTGGCCCAGATTCCAGGGCATTTAACTGTCACAGAATGGTTATTTCTCATCAGTCCAAATTCCCCCAGCCTCTGCCCTCCTACAAAACTGATCGGAGGACAGAATTCTTATTTACATTCTGGGGCTTTGCATTGCCTTCAAATCTGTGTCCCAGAATTATGGAGAAAAATGCAAATTTGGTCTTCCAGAACTGAGAAGAAAAGCCTTTTTAAAGCTCTCCAATTGAGATTAATTTCAGTCATACACTTTCCTCAAAAAAATTATAATACCGTTTTCCCAGAAGTATAAGAATCAGTCAATTTTTCTTATCTGGTTCCCTTTCATTAATTTTACTTGTCTTTTAAAATTGGTGTTCTTCTGTTTGCTACAAATGAGGACAGTATGGGCTGCTTTTAGAAACAATCTCTTCAAATGAATTTCCATAATTACGTTGGAATCTATCTTTATAGCCAGTTTTGTTGTGGGTTTCTGTTAAAATGGTTTTCTGTTTTTAAAATCAAGTATACAGAACTGTTTTCATCCCCTTTTTAAACAAAGCCACTTAAGCAAACTTATCATCTGTTTTTCTTTTCCCAAAATAACATTTCTGGTCCTGCAATGAGCCTGCAAAGTAAGCACTGTTTTTATAAATTGACACAAACCCCTATTACAAAAATAGAATTGTTTTACATTTAAAGGGTACAACATGACTATCAGTACCAATTGTGTCAAGGTTATTTCAAGCACTTTATCTTGAGCTTTTATTAGCCATGGAAACTCAGTATGGCTATAGCCAATATAAACAATTTTGGGGGTCTCTCCTTCCCACTGTTTCTTTCAACCATTATAAGGACATTATAAGGCATGTGTTTTCATGTTAGAAGTTGATGGATAAATGAGTAACTTTCAGATGCCTCGCTTAATGAGTTCACAATTTTTTTTTATAGAAACTGTCATTCGGGTAACAAGGAAATATAAAAAGGCACAGCAAAGTAAAATCTTCTATTGTAACTCTCCTTATTCTGCATATTAGGATTTTAAAAAGAAAGAATTAATCATTGTTCTGCCTTTTTAATAGGAGTTCAAGATAACCAAATAATCCCATTTGATGAGAGAAAGCTTTTCTTTATAGAGAATGAGAGCTGATAAATGCAAAAGGAATGATAGAATTCAGAAATCACCATTTTGCATTCCCTAATGAAATAATTGATTCAGACAAGGATCTCCAACAATACCAAAACCATTAGTTGAAAGGTTGATGAGGAACTAGGTTTTCACATGCTTCAAGATGTACACCCATAGATTACTTACTGTGGCAAAGCGAAATGCCCCTTTACTCTGGAGTGGACTGGCTGTTGTCACCTTCACCAAGTGATCAAGGCTAATATGACCTATGAAGTTTTCTTGCCAAAAATGTTTAACCTGAGCCTAATCACACCTTTAGCTCTAACTTCCAATTTATAAGAAATACAGAGGGTAAAGAAAAAGAAAGAAACAATCAGAGACTCAAGACATCCTGTAAGACAACTAGCCCAATTTCTTTGAAAAGTCAATATATGCATGTGCAGGGACACACATGTATATACACATATACACTAAAGGAGGTGCTATTATTCTAGATTAAGACACTTAAAAGGCATAAAAAGCAAGATGCCTGATCCTTAATTGTATACTGCTTTTTTAAAAAATTGGAACAATTTGGGGACAATTGGAACAATTTGGGGACAATTGGAGAATTCTGAAAATGGACAGGGTACTATAATTCAGAGACTGATCACTAGATTTGTTGGGTATGATAATGATATTGTGACTATGTAAGATAATGTCATGTTTTTTAGATTTGTGTACTGACGTATTTAGGGGTGAAATGTCATGATGTCTCTAAATTCCTTTGAAATGTTGGTGGATAGGTTGATAGGTAGGTAAATGGATGGATGTTGGATAGATGCTGGAGGAAGCAATGAGGCAAAATAGTCACAGCTGGTGAGTATAGGTGATTGGAATATGGTGCTCATTTTATTAATCTTTCTACTTCTCAGAATCTTTAAATTTTTTTATATAAAAAAAATTAAAAAATTTCCTACTCCACTTATATCAGCTCTTGGTTCCTATTCCAGGTGCAGTACGTGATTCAGGGATATCACAAAAGAAGAGAGTATATTGCTGCTTTCCTCAGCCACTTTGGCACGTAAGTTCTGCTCTGTTTAAACTATGCACCAACCATGCCCTCACTTGCTGACGACCCTAACGTGGGGGCTTTGATTAAGAAAATAGCTCTTGGTTCTTACAAACAATACCTTTTCAATGCCACTTTCTTTTTGGTGTGCTGTTTATATGAAAGCTCCCAAGAAGACTTTTTTTTAGTATTCTTTGGCAAATAATAGAATCCAGTATCTGGAGCAGCAGCATGGCAAGCCCAAACACAGCAGTAATAATGGCGGCAATACCTGCTAGTCATAGAGCTCTTTGCAGTTTGCAAAGCACCTTCACTTCCCCCACTTCACAGTAGCCATGAAGTTAACCAGGTGGGCATTGGGACACTTTTTATTGAAGAAAGCCCTGAAACTGCGGTAAGCTCAGTAACCCAATGGTAGTCACACACCCAGAAGTGGTGGAGCCAGGACAGGAATCCCCTTTCTCCAGGACTCAGGTCTCCTGACAGGACTGCACTACAGTGCCACGCAGATTTGGGAAGGAAATCTAACATTAGATGCAAGAGCAGTGACTCACACTTGAAATTAGGAGTTGGAAGATGGCACCGAGAGAGGAAAGGGAAGCATGTGACTGCAGTCGCCGAGTGGGCATCTCCTCCTGCTCTGTCCCTGTGCGTTTCCCCTTTCCTTCTGGTCGGTGGCCGTGCTGCTCTGCAGCCTGTTTCCTTAGATGACATCAGAGGCCTCATTAAGCTTCTCCTGGGGTTAGTGCCAGGGAATGCGTCTTCCTCATGCTCCTTAAGGAGGTGGGGGCATTCTACCCCTGGGGGAAACTAGGCACTCAGGGTTTTAGTGGTCTGGTTGTAGCCCACCTTATTCCAGAGAAGATTTATAAATATGTATACAGTAACACAAAATTAAAATTTTTAAAAAGTAAATGAAGAAATTAGGACAAAAGGAAATTGAGAGTAGGAAAGAAAAAATGAAACCAAGAATAAGGTTGGCCATTCTCTAGGATATAATTTTCAAAGTGTGGCACAGTCAGCAAAATTTATCACTGCTCAAAACAATTTTAAGAAATTTTCTCAATATCCATAGTAGAATTTTTCTTTCCTCCAAAATAGAAGTGTCAGTATCCAAACAGTAGGACTATCTCTCACATGAGTCTTTAATACTTAAGATTGTTTTCAGTTTTGTTTATGAACATTTTTAAAAAGTACTCTTGATACAAACAGTGGTTAATCAATGATACCACTGGTCTTCTGATCTTCAAGTAAGATTATCTTTAGTATATATAATTGAAAGTGAGGAAGCTAGCACAGTGACCTCCAAAGTGGGGTGCACACAGCCACATGACTCACTTCATTGGAATACAAGAAAATTATGAAATTTATATATTTTTTTAAATATTATTCTTTTTAAATGTATATTTTTGTGTTTTATTATATATATAATACAATAATGCAGTACTTATTACTGTACTATATACATACTAAAAAAGATTATGTACTTGTTTTTACCTATAGGATATAGAATCTAAAAAGTTTAAATATCAGTGTTATAATATTATGTTAATTACAAGTTCATAGAGAGATATATGAATTGGTGAGTAGAATTGGTGACTTGAAATCTGAATGATAAACCAACCATCTTTGAGCAGATCCCTTAGCCTTTAGTATCTTAGTTCCTTTGCCTTTACAGGAGGGCAGCTGTTCCTCCCTACTTAAACTGGGCGGTCATCAGATTCAATGATCTGGTTCAGCCAGGGAGAAGGCATCTCTAAGGATATCAATGACCTCCTTGTATGAATGAGAGAGAAAATCATTTCTGTCCTCAGTGTGTGGTTGGTATTGTCACATCTTGACAGCATTCTCCGAGGCACTGAGCTCTTGAGAGAAATGAGTGAGATGAGCCTACCAGAATCCTACCCGGCCCCAGCAGTGGTCAGGGGCTGTTCTCCCTTGATACATGAGCTGTGCGTCTCACATCTGAGCCCAGCGTCCACACGTCTCGTGTTGCTACTTTCTCTTGAGCCCAGTGGGGAGAACAAGGGGACATAAGTGAAAGGATTCCATATACTTTGGAAGAAAAGTAATATATAATCCTTAAAAATACTATCATTGCTCGTTACTATTTAGTGCCCAGTGAAGGGGCTTAACAATCACTGTACGGATAGTATGCTACTCTTTGATATTATAGTGTCATTGTCGATCTGATTTCTTAATTTGTCCTTTTACTCATAATTAGTAGCGAACATTTGTATAGCATTTTATATTTTATCTTATTTGTTTTTCACAACCCTGTAATGAAGTTTGCAGATGAGGAAACTGAGGCTGCAAAAGTTAAGATTTACATGAGGCCATGATAGATAGTAAATGGCAAAGCTGTGACTTGAGCCTAGTTGCCCTCATTCCAAATGCCCGGCCTTCCTACAGTAATTCTCACTTGCCTTAAATGCATCTGAGATTCGATAACCCTGACTTTGTGAATATATTCTTTACTTGGTGTCATCCCTTTTATACCTTATTTTTATGAGGGTTTTTTGTTTGTGTGTGTATGTTTTTGTTACTTAGAGGTGTCGTGGAATATGATGCAGAAGGCTTTACAAAACTCACTCTGCTGCTGATGTGGAAAGATTTTTGTTTTCTTGTACACAGTGAGTATACTTTTGCTATCAGCATGTCAGCATACATTTTAAAATGTTCTGAACCACATCTAATAATCCGTCTGAGAACCTTTAGTGACCTGACATGTTCCCTTCTACTTTAGTATATGTATATTTGTTGTGTGATCTTGAAGAGAAAAATATCTCTAGGCCAGTGGTTCTCAACCACTGGAGTCACTTTGCCCCTTAGGTGAGGTTTGGCAATGTCTGGAGACATTTTTGGTTGTCACAGTTGGCAGCAGGGGTGGGGGATGGCTACTTGGCTATTTGCATCTGGTGGGTAGAGGTCAGCGATGCAGCTAAACATCCTACAATGCACAAAACAGCCCCTCACAAAAATATTATTGAGTCCAAAATGTCAGTATTGCCAGGCTGAAGACACCCTACCCTAAACAGATTTCTGTTTGAAAGTATCTTTCCAGTATCAAGTCTCAAAACTTGCAGAATTACTTAAAACATACCTGCTGTGATCATTTGGTTATCATCCTTATTAAGTGAAAGGTCTACAGCTTTGATAATACGTAGTACGTAACTTAAAGATGGGTGGTGTCTCAGCGCATCCATAGCGTCACTTCTCAGGGTCTCCCACAGAGTAGGCTACTTAAATGGTTGTTGTGTTGTATCATTCAGTCAGTCAGTAAACATTGGCCCAGCTTTTTCTTGGTGGATAATTTAGAGTCTCTTTTGTTTATTTCCTGGTTATATAAGAACCAGTGACCCATGGTGTCAAGTTTCAGTTGCAAGTCAACTGAGACCTTCATTCTGTAGGAATTTGGTATGCAAAATGCCTAGTCTTCAAACCAAAGGCAAAGGAGTTCTAGCTTTCCCAGCTTGAATTAGGGAAAAGCAGTGGGCTTGAGTTGGCTTCACTCAGTATGTAGAACTTACCCTATGCCTTAATAAACTATTTTAGCAAGAAAATTGGGCCGTATCCAACAGTTTAAAGATACTGACTTTGGGAGATTTTTCTTCCCCAGCAGATTTACCTTCTTGGTTGTGATTTGGCTAGGTTAAAATAGTTTTCAAATTCTTTTTTTTTTTCTTACCTGATCTCACACCAACAGTTAATAAGGGAAGAAACCCAAAATGTCCATAGCGGCAGAAGGAGAAAAGCCTCTGAGTAAAATCTTATCGTGGTATAATCCATGTAGAGATAATTGAGAGCTGGCTATCTTTGGAAGGAGCTGGGCTTCACTGCTCTTTAGGTGTTGCCAAACAATCACCACCTTATCAAGGTGTCACATACTGTGTCACCACCATAACTTACAGTATGGGCAGGTAGAGGAGGGAAGCCTCACAGTCAAGGGCTACTGGCAGCCTCCCCTTTGCTTCCTGTCTTCTGTGGCTCTACTGATCTGTGCTGAACACTGGTGCTTCCAGCCACCACTTTTAATTCTGACCTAATGTCCTTCTTTGCTTTGGTTTGCATTCTGAGTCTTAATTCCTTTGTGAGACCTCACTTCCTATTTGCCATATTCACTTTAGCACACTGCCTTGGTCCCAGTGATTCTTTTTCTAACTTGGTAACCCAGCCCCTGATCCAGACTGCATCCTCAATTTATCTTTTTGACTCAGGACAGTTGCCTACCAGTTGCCTGGTAGGATTCTCCTAGCTCAGCTCAAACAAGAGGGGTGTGTAACCTGAGGATGGTGGTGAGGGTCAGATGCCTCCAGAGTGGCCGTGGACAACCTCATCGCAGTGGGACAATTACAAATATTACGTTAGATGAATGCCTCAGCCAGTTCCTTCATCCCAGAGTGGCATGACAGGCCAAGTCTTTCTCCTGAAACTTGCTTTCTTCTCCTAGCCATGGTTCTACTTTCAGTTGATATCTGATCATACCAGACGTAAGAGAAAGAACGCATTCATGACATTGCTCAATTTAACTGTGTTTTCCACATGTGACTTAAAGAGGACTACTCTGGTGGTGGCTAGCAAGAGGAAATTGTTACTTGCAGTGATGTTCAGGGATAAAAAAGCATTCTCCTCTCACCTCCTGCCGGCTCTTTGGTCAGTCCATTCAGCTTTATAGCAATTGCTGTAGCTTTTGAAAGTCTATTCCCTACAGAATATTTTGTCCTTAGTACCATGTGTCCAGTATTCTTACAGCTCCTGTTCCACCTTGCTGTCTTAGCTTTTCCAAATCAGACGTGCAAAATTGAGTGCCAAAGTTAAATTTTCACTTCATCTTGAATTACCTTCTTCAGAAACATAGAATCCCCAGGCACTCCTTAGAACAGCTGTCAGGGACCTTGGGACTTGTTTAATTTACTTTTTCCAAAGTATTTCCTCAGTCTCGTATTCCTTCCCTCTCTAGGCTGTTTGCTCTTTGTTTTAGCATCACTGCCCACACTCTTGTTCTTCTGGCAGATAAGGCCTTGTCTGTGAATCAAGGGACTTTGATGCTGTTTCCTGCTCCGTCACTAACTCACAGCCTGTCTTTAAATAATTTCCACCCTTTTGCTTCTTTCTTATCTAAAATGTAGGGCTTGCTACATCAGAATGAAGCTTGGTTAGATAATGTGTTTTACTTAGTCATGCAGTTAAGCATCTGACACTTACCTTCCTTTGGAAGCATCTGCTTGCTTGGTTACAACGCCCAAGAGACCACTTGTTCCTTTTTTTCCTTCCACAAAGTGGGGAGGTGAATATGGGGTTGCAGAAACTTAACAGAGAACATTGCAGTGAATTATTCTGAGATCTCAAGTCATGAAAAAGGAGGAAGGAAGTGCCTGGAGATAGATCCAGTCCCCTGTGGCTGGCTCCACTATTTCGTGGAGGTTGAAGACCTAGCAGAACGTGAAATAACATCTCTGCTTTCCCCTGTCTCTATTCTCCCAGGCCCAAGAATAGGAAGACAGCTATCGATAGGGCAGGTGCTGGCAATAACTCTGAGCATGTTGGACGCTAGAGGAAAGAGGCACTCCTCTCTTGAGGCAGACAGCTCTGACCTCAGACTTGGGCCTGAGTGTACGGAAGCAAGAATGCCATAGGGGAAAGCATTGCACATATTCTGGGATCTCTCAGGAGACACTACAACATCATGGCATTCTGGCAGTTCCAGGGGTGGAGACTATGGCCATAATTTTAGCCATGAAGCTTTTTCATCCCTTTATTCCTTCCTGCCATCATTTGTTATCAACATGTCTAAAGACTTGGAACCGCAGTAGAATCAGAAACTTGCTCCCATCCAGAAACCATTTTCAGGAATGTTTCCTGGCCATCAACTAAGAATTATTCATAGCAGTTGTGTAGGTAATTCTGTATTTGCCAAATTGTTCTTCCTCTGGAGGTAGATGTTTCTTTAAGCCAGCAGTTTTTCAGAATGTTGGATGGCAATAGGACTGGTTAGCAAGGCACAGTAGCACAGAACAAAAGCAACCACTGGGGGAAAGATACGCTCTTATTTCATGGGCCCTAATCAGCTGCACTGTAAGTAGACATGGGAGGAGGCAGCTGCTCGCGGTAGCAGAGTTACTGCTTGGAAGAGGAGAATATTGAGATCTGTGATTTCCAAGGCAATATCAGGGAATCTGTGACTGTATGACAAGCTGTCTTCTCATTAAATCCTTGGTAAGTGACCCCTTGAGTCATCCAGCTTGGACCCTAAGCAGTCTCTCCCTGGTAGAATGTCTATTAGACTGAATCTGACCATTTTTTCTCTTCTCCGCCTCTACCCCTAATTAATTTAACTCAATTTAACTGAGAGATGAGTTTACTGAGAACCTTCTACATGCTCAGTACTATGCTAGGTATTAGCAAATATAAGTAAATAACTCAGGCTTGACCTTAAGACACTTTTAGCAGTATAGCACAGAAGTTGGAAAACTACAGCCTGTGGGCCAAATCCCACCCTCAGCCTGTTTTTATATGGCTCTAAAAAGCTAAGAATAGTTTTTATATTTTTAAAGGCTATTAGAAAAAAAAAAAAAACAGAAGCAAAACAATATGCAACAGAGACAGTATATGGCTTACAAAGCCTAAAATATTTACTATTTGACCCTTTACAGAAAGTTTGTCAACCTCTGCTCTAGTTGATGAGAAAAGAGATTAGGTGATATTTTGTGACTTGGTTACTAGAGGCAAGGCATAAAGTGATGTTTGAGAAAATAGAGTTAGACCCTCATATATTAAATATACGAGAGAGAGAGAGAGAGAGAGAGAGAGAGAGAGAGAGAGAGAGAGAGAGAGAGAAACCGAAACCCTCCCTCTTGGAGTCTAATAGAGAGACAGACAATAAAGTAGTAAACTAAGTGTACAAATTTCAAATGGTGACAACAGCCGTGATGGAACAAAACAGATGGCTGTGATAGACTAAGAGGAGGTTGTTGTTAGTGTGGTTAGGGGAGACCTCTTGTAGAAGATGGTATTTCAGCTGAGACCTTAATGAGCCATTCAGACAGCCAAGGGAGGAGATTCCAAGGAAAGCAGTGAGCTTGTGCAACCCTTAAGGCAGCAAAGAGCTTTGCCTGAGCCAGTATGAGTGGAGCACAGTGAGGAAGGGAAGAATCATTTGTTCCTTTTTTTTTTTTTTTTTTTTTTTTAGCTGCTTATTTTGAGTTACTTTCTTAGCAGCTTGCTCTAGAGATTACAATAGGCATCTTTAACTTAAACAATCTGCTGAAGGTTAATAGCCACTCAATTCTGGTGAAATATAACAACTTTGCTCCTTTTCCTTCCCCTTGTTTGTGCTATTAATTGCCACATGTTACATCTTTATATGTTATAATGTAAAAACAACAATATCAATTTTCTATTATTGCTATAAACAGTCATATTTTTAAAAGACAAAGAGAAAAAATTCTCTGTGTATTTTGTTTTTTCCATTATTTCCAGTGTATTGCTCCATCTCATAGTTGGTATAGTCTTCATTTATTGGTTTTAAGTTTACATTAAGTACAAAAACAATTATTATGTTTTTCAGATAGCTCTGTTTCTGGTAAGACTTTGTTTTTGTTTTGTTTTGTTTTTTGTTAAAGCCAGAGGAAAC